ATTATAAATTCTTACTTCTGCCTGACAACCCCAAACATGTAGGTGTCTTAAACTGGGTTTCCTACTAGTCCATAACTCAAAAGGAGTCTTTTGAACCGCTTTACTAGGAACCCTGCTCAACAAATACATGGCAGTCTTCAAAGCATACATCCACAACGATACAGGTAAACATGAATTACTCAACATAATCCTAACCATATCCATTAAGGTTCGATTACGCCTTTCAGATACACCATTTTGCTGCGGTGTACCTGGCATTGTGTATTGAGCACAAATACCACGCTTCTCAAGGAACTTAGCAAACGGACCAGGGTGTTGTCCACTTTCATCATATCTTCCATAATACTCACCACCTCTATCTAACCTGACAATTTTCACCTTTCTGTCTAATTGCCTCTCCACTTCGTTTATATAACTTTCTAAGGCATTTACTGCTTGAGATTTCTCATATAGTAAATAGACATATCCATAACGCGAGAAATCGTCAATGAAAGTGATGAAATACTTCTCTTTATTAAAAGAATTTACGTCAAATGGACCACATATATTAGTGTGTATGATTTCAAGAAGTTGAGTGCTTCTTGTGGCTCCTTTCTTTGTGTGTTTTGTTTGTTTACCTTTAATACAATCCACACATACATTCAGATCAAGTAAAATCTAAATCCGAAGGATTTCATTCTTTACTAATCTTTGCATTCTTTCTTTGGAAATATGTCCCAAACGCTTATGCCACAAATAAGCAGATCTTTCATCCACCAAACTACATTTAGTGCCAACATTATGATGCAAGGTCATCGAAGTTTCAAGCATATAAATTATCCAAATTCAATTTATATAAACCATCATAAAGTGTACCAGTTCCAATCATACATGTACGCTTAAATAAACTGAAACAACTATTCTCAAACTTAAAAGAGTATCCAGCAACATCAAGCTTAGACAAAGAAACTAAATTTCTAATGATACTAGGTACATAAAAAGTATCCATAAGGTCTAAGTGATATCCAGTGTCAAGGATTAAACGATAAGTCCCGACAGCTTCCACTGGAACCTTGACTTTATTCCCCATGAAGACGAACTTCTCATTTGGGTTTATGGTTCGGGTTGAAAGGAATCCCTGCATCACATTAGAAACATGAGTTGTACATCAGAATCAATCCACCAAGTATTATGGGGAACTTCAATTAAATTTGATTCAAAACATACATAAGTACTGTGCTCACCTTTCTTTTCGAACCAAGCTTTGCACTTTAAGCAGTCCTTCTGAAAATTTCCAGACTTCCCGCAGAAATGACATTTGTCATTTTTCTTCTGAATGTTAGTAGAGGACTCGTTAATCTTTAATGGTCCTTTACCCTTTCCATGTTTCTTAACAACTTTCTTTTTAGCTCCTTGATTTTTCACGTAATGAATAGAGTGGTTTCCTAGGTTCTTGAGTCTGGTCTCCTCCTGAACTAACATACTGTGCAATTCATGCACATTCCATTTGTCTTTCATGGTGTTATAATTCATTTGAAACGGACCATACTCAGGCGGTAACGAGTTCAAAATGAATTGCACAAGAAAATTTTCTTCCACTGCCATTCCAAGAGACTTGAGTCTTGCTGCGATATTTGTCATTTCGATTACGTGTTCATGCATACTACGAGAACCATCAAACTTCATGGTGGTCAACGTACTCATCAATGTCCCAGCGAGGGATTTGTCAGCAGTTTGAGAACGCTCTTTCACAAATTTCATAAATATTTTCACGTCCTTAGTTTTGGAAAAAGCATACTTAATATTGCTTGCAATACTCATTCGCATAAACATAAGACTAAGTCTATTTGAACTTTTCCAAACTCTATAATGAGTTTTCTCTTTGTTGCTACTAGCATTAGTGATAGCAACCGGTTTTTCAACTTAGAAAGCCAAATCAAAATCCAACTCACCTAAGTGAAATTGGACTTTCTTACTCCAGTCAGGGAATTTAATTTATTAAAGACTGGAACAGACGAAGTAAGCGAATGTAGAAATACATAATAAACAAATACTTCAATTAACACATGCCTAACATTAACGCTTTGAGTCATAAAAACTAAACATAAATACAGATTCAAACATAAATAACCATTCTATGCATACTAATGTTCTCCTTTGGGAGATCCACTAATACACAAACATAATTACGCTAATCTTTTTATAACATTAATGATAATTAAAATATGCATCAACTAGAATCACCTAACACCTTTGGGTATATAAATAAAACTAGTGACGCACACAAAATTATCTACTTTCATGTTCATTAATTATAATAACAACTAATCAACCTTTGGGTGATCCTGAAATGCCTTATAATAAAGAACTTCAATTAACCCATAAATCATTATTCATAATTTTAGCATTCATACTATGGGTAATTGAAATAAAATCATTAATAATTTGAAATCAAAATAACCATAAAATTTTGGCCACTTTGGTGACTAACAAAATTTAACATGCTTAATTTCAAATAAATAATATCTTTAATAGCTATTAAGCATTCATAGCATTTTTTTATTAATTTTAATAAATATGTACATTATTCACATAATAAAATATTATGTGCCATAAATAAAATTGAAACTCATAATTTCAATTTTCATCCTAAGATTGATTTTGAATCCAAGACCTTTATTTGCATTTCACGTAAAAGTGAAATTGTCATTCATTGAAAACTTTTATGAGTAATTTAAACACAGCTGGAAATAATACAATTCAGTTTGCAAAACAAGATTCATTCATTTATCAATGTTTACATTATAGGTACATTAACAAAGTTTTACAGTACATTAACAAAACATTATATTAACAACCTTAACAAAGCTTCATAGTACATTAACAACCTTAACAAAGCTTTATAGTACCATAACAAAGCTTTATAGTACCATAACAAAGCTTTACAGTACCATAACAAAGTTTTATAGTACCCATAACAAAGCTTTACAGTACCATAACAAAGCTTTACAAGTACCAGTTAGTATATTATACAACTCACTTTAACATAAAAATAACTCTTTAATTATCTTTCCCCACATAAAAAAAAATATGTACGTACAAAATAATGTACAAATAATATGGGGACAAAATAATATATGGACAAAATAATATAGGGGAAAATGGCTTTAACAAGTCACCAGATCACCAATATGTACATACAAAATAATATTATAAATAATATAATATAATATAATATAATATATGAAACATGTGTGTTTAACACGTGCTCTCTACGCGCAAAGTTTATCAACTTTAAGGTTTATCATTCTTCCATCATAATTATAACATTTCATCATAACATCTCATCATAATTATAACATACAATAAAACTAATTTCATACATGATTCACCCTAACCCTATCACGTCATTTGTCTTTTCAATTAAAATCAATTACGGGTTCATTCACGCATAGGGGCTATAAAATTGGTTTCAATTTGAACTTGAAAACATAATTAGGGTTTATTCCTTTATTTAATTTTGAGAAAAATAAATTTGGGAATAAATTAGGGTTCGTACTAATCTGATAAAGAAATCCCTAAATTCATAATTAGGGTTTATCTTAATTTGGGGAAAACTTAATATTTGGGAAAACTTTCGTACATGGAAAATCATAAATCTAATAATCAGTGCTCTGATACCACATGTAAGACATTATGTAGTTTTCCTACGTTCTTAATTTATTATGGAAAACTACTCTACAGGATCTTTAGATTATTGATTTTCACAACATAACATACATGAATCATAATAAGAGAACTAACTTTGATCCATGAAAATATATTCTTAAATTTTATCGTTCTCCAATCTCCTTTTCTCAATCTATCTATTTGTCTTTCTTTCTCTTCTCACGCTTTCTTGATGGTTTTCCGTGAAAAAAACCTTATGACCAGAGACAGAACCCTTATTCCATTTTATTAACCAACGTCCATCAAGTTGGTTACCGTAATGTAATATTTTATTTTATGTTTATTTTATTCTAACTTCACATAATAACCAATAGGTCCTCATATTTTATTAAATCACATTTGTGCTCATTATTATATTTCACATGAGTTACGTAATGAAATGAATTAATTAAATTAATTCTAACAATGTGTTGTGCTTTTAATGCCTACAATCTGAAATTTCTCAAAAAAAGTTTAGGTTTTTTTAGCGTGGAATCATATCATGTTGAATTTGAACTAAAAAATAAATTGTTTTCGGTGCTACGAATAATGTGATTTTCTCTTAAATACATCATCAGCAAGAATAATGAAGAAGTTCGATGAAGACTCTGCTTAAATCAAATAACAAGTTTCATATTGTGGATTGTACATGGTTATATGCTTCGCCCTTAATGCAAACCCATGTCTCGTTCGATAGCATAGTACATACGTGTATATAGACAAAAAATTCCAGTCACTGACCATGCTTTTGTGTTGTTTGTTTGGCAACTCCATAATTTTTGGAATGAACGTAACATCATACTAAAAAGCTAACTCATTATCCTCAGTCCAATGCATCGTGGGCAATGAATCTTAGGTGTATAAAAGTAGCAAGCAACCCATAACACATAATATATTCGAGGAACATCATTCTCAGAATGGCGACAATAAAATTCCAAACTTAAAAATACTTCTCCTTAGCACTTCTATCAGACCAAGTATGAATGAGCAGCACTAGAGAATTTTGAAGGTTCAACATATGAATATTACATAACATATCTGTCTTCCTACCATAAAGCTACTGAGCATGATGGCTTGTAGGGAAATATGTTCCTCCACGTGAAGCAAAAGAAAAACCAGTTCAGTGTTGCAGCCATTTCGACACACCAGAAATTGTGAGCTTCTGACATAAAAGTTATGTAATAAACTACAATTTGTAATAAGAAAAAGCAATGAAGAACTGATAATAATACTGAGCTTCGAGAAATGAGGATATGGGATGGCTAGAAAAGTTCCATTATTTTGGTTCTTGCCAATCAATCACACCTTAAAGGTTACTTGTTCTTGAAAAGTTCCAAACAGTGTTCTTGGTCCAAGTTCCTGCTCCAAAACTGCTTATAATATTCAGCATACGTATATCCTCTGTATACGGGTCCAGATCCATCTTCAGTGAGTGGTTTCGCAGGGCTTATTAATGCCTCTTCGCTTGGACACAGAAATGAAGCCACGGAAAGCCTGGGCTTGTCAACATTGACAACAGCACGGTGCCATACACTCTTATAAAGCCCATTACTCAAAGCCTGCAAGCCACTCAAGGCGAACATGAAATTGGTTATTGCACTATGGGCTTTAGTGTCGGCTAAATCCTGAACGCAAGATCTAGCCCACAAAAGAAACTTTATATATTTATCCTAAAAGTACATTAAGTTATTCGTAAATATCACATCAATTTAATAAAATTTGTGATAGGCTTTTGCCATATGCTTAAATCCGATTCTAGTAATAAATAGTTGAACTTATCCGCATGATTAAACTTGGGCCAAGACCCAAACACACAAACCCACATGGGTGTAGACCATGCGCCAGCTTCAATGCCAAACTAGGCTCCACTAAAAAAAGGTAACAACACATGCAATGTGTAAAGCTAAATAAATAAAAACAAAATTTTAAAGTACTGTTTGGTTGGCATCATTTATGCAGGTATGGCTAGCAAGTTGCATCAAAAGCATCAAGTCAGTTCATAAATAAAGAGAAATTATTTTAAGGTTGAAAAGTATTTTTATTTTTCGTAATTTAGTATTTTAGAAAGGAAAAAAAAAATCATAAATTTTGATCTCCAAAACTTGAACCTGGAGTTGATCGCCTATGTTAATGACAAAGGCATGAGGTTGGGGTTTAACAGAGAGCCAGTTTCCATCTTTGAGAACTTGAAGGCCAGCAACGTTGAGATCTTGGAGCAGAATCGTGAGTGCATTTGGGTCAGTGTGGCCTGGCAAGCCATAGGTGAGTTCTGGTTGTGGGCACGCTGGATAGTAGTTCACTGCCATGTGTTGCCCTTGTTCACCCAACACATTCTTTATGTAATCTTTCTCTAACCCCAAACTCTCTGAAATGTATCCCTCTATTCTCAACCCCAATTCCCTAACCTCTTCGCAGTATTTTCTCGTATTTTCCCTGCCAATGCCAATTCAAAAACATGAGTACACACAACTTAATACCTACCCATCAACTTCAACAAAAACATTATCGTACAAAAGCACCTTTCTAGTATCTTCAACTAAAGCTGTTTTTCGTCATGATTTTACCACTTTATCAAATATACTAAACTGTTTTTTAAAAAATTGAAAGAAAAAAAATACCGAAAGAGAGAATATTTCAAGTATTAGAATAGAAAGAGGTAGCGACAAGCATCAGATCTGAACATATTGACTTACGTCAACACGCAAATGTCTGCTGACGTCATTCCTCATTTAATGCCACCTCATCAACAAATAATGCCTCCTCGTGTCACTCAATGTAAATGACATTTGGGTCGTAACTCACATTTAAAATATCAAATAAAATAAAATTTAGATTTTCATTTTATAACTCATCTTATCTTCTCCACCAAAATTTGATAGGTTGTGTGTGGATCTCATAATTTTTTTATCCTTTAAAATATTCCAAACTATGAAAAAAAAAAGAGAGAGGAAATCAACGTTGTTTTATGTTTTGTTTGAAATGGTATGTAAGAAAATATGACACAGTAAAATAAAAAATAAATGTGTTTGTATATGTCAAAAATAAATAAAAGTAAGTGAAAATAAGATGATTTTATAGTTATTGTAATAAATTCTAAAAAAGCATTCATAATAGTGATTATAATTAATTTTTTCTTAAACTTTCAATAAATTTATTTTAAATCGAATACGCGGTTAATATAATATATTTCTGCATATGTCTCTCTTATTTTGTATAAAGGGTTTTAGCATCTTCTATGTTTTTTTTTTCACTAATTTTGAACGCAAGCAAACGAAAAATTAATTAACAAATTCCATTACGCAGACATATTACGCACCCTCAAGAGGACACATGCATTCTAACAATACATTTTTTTTCATAATTAAATAATAAGTAAAAGTAGCATCATATTATATTGATAATTTTATAAGTTATTTTTTTCTTGAGGTAATATATCAAACAGTAAATAATTAAAATATTCGTATTTTCAAAATAATTTTTACTTAATTATGAAAATTAATTTAGATAGATAAATTTTTTTTATCCATTTCACTTGCTTTCAAGTTGTGTATTCTTCCTCTCTCCTAATATTTCCTTGGAAAATTTAAAAAAATAAGACTCCTGAGTCAATAGATATGATTTTAAAATTAAGGGCAGTCGTAATACTTTTATATTAATTTTGAAAAATTAGACTCTAAAGTCAAGAGAGTTACGTTTCTAAGGGTAGGCCTAATGCTTTTATATTAATTAAGGCCTAATTACGTTTCACAGAACAATCACGTAGTATAATAAAATAATACATAAACACAATTAGAAAATACTGATTTGTTGAAATTTACATGTCTTAGACGTAACAATATTTTAATTATCTTTTAGAGTAAAAAAATTCTATTAGTAATATTATCAGATTATTGTATATAAATGGATAGAGAAATATATAATATAAATTGGTGTAAATATGTTGAACTTAAAGCTATATTTAATCATTCAAAAATATCTAATCATATACTTAATATGACTTATTTCAACATGAATTTTTTTTATTAAAGATGGGTTAGAGATATTTAAATTATAATACATAATTACATATAATATTGTTTTAATTATAAAGCATAAAGTTTCTTTCTCTCGTGGGTTCAATTAATTATCATTTGAAATACATATTTTTCTCTTCTTCGTTTTTTTTTCTTCAACTATGTGCTACCAAATAGTACAACGTAAACTGAGAAAGAAATAAAAGGAAAAAATTATTTTGACATCTCATTTTTTTTCATATATTTACTGAATAATTTAAAATACTGTTTTTGAAATTAATTGATGAAAAATTAATAAAATAAAATGGAAAAAAATAATATAAAATTTTAAAAATAGTGGTTGAATAAAAATTAGAAAAAAAGAATATTTCTAATATATTATAATCCGAAATAAAATTTTAAAATAATCATTCGAGTTTATTTATTTATTTAGTATCAAATAGGCATATGATCCCCGACAGGACCACAGTGCTTTATAACGAAACTTGTGCCAATTAATTTCCCGAAAGAAAATATGGAAAATACTTAAAGCAGAAACAGACACGTGCATAACTTAAAAGTTTATGTTTGTACTTTTCAAAAATATTTCTATATATCAAATGATAAATTTGTTAACTTCGAAATAGTTATATTATTATTTACAATATAGAACTTTTTAAATTAATTTGAAGCAAGAAAGAGGGTAGGAAAGTGTAACAATCGAAATTTAAAGTAATACACCTGTCATTTGGTATGGAATTCGGAGGAATGACAAAGAAAAATATCGAGGGAAGTTAATTCGAAATATATATGGGTCTAATCCATCCAAAAAATAGTGTTATTTTTTGTAGATTAATTTTAGAATATTTTATTAATTAACAGAAAAAAAAAGTATTAAACAAGAACAAAAGAAAGAAATAAAAGCATTTGATTGGTTTTTTACTATGGTCAAGATGAAGAAAAAACACGAGACCCTTGATTCACTACTAACTGTCCAGAAATGGAAAGAACGAGAAGAGAAAGGTGATTTTGATATAAAAATATTATATTTTTATGGAGAATATTTGTGTGAAATATATTCTGCTTTTATATTTGAGTGTTTATGAGAAAGATCTTGACGATGAAGTGATGAAAAGGTTTCCTTTTTGCGTGTAGAATGTGAATGACAGAAAAAGCGAATATTAATGGCGTCACATATATTGCGTCAGAGAGAAGAACGTTGAATAGGGGGAAAGAGAAAAAGTGTGAGATGATTATTTATGAGAATAAAAAGATGAGATGAAGCATGTAAGACCTGGTCAGCAGCAGCAATTGGCCACTAAATAATGAATGGTGGGAAGAAAAAGAGATAGGGAAGGAAGACTTACTTGAAAGAGGGAGGATTAGAGGGCCATTCAGGAACATATTTGTCTAATGGATGGCAGTGAAGTCTAAGATAATCTCTCCAATTATGCACTGTCTCTTTTCTCACATTGAAACTTGTGGATAATCTCATTGTCTTAGAAGGGTCTTCGGAGTACACCTTCAGTTTCTCCTCCACTGGCAACTTGAAGAAACCATGTGCCACCTCTGTCATTTCCCTCACCGCTTCTACCGCCACCCCGTGATTAATCACCTGCTTAATTTTTTATTCTCAGTTATTTAAACCCTTTTTCTTTAATCAAAATAAAATTCACAAAATGTTCAACACACAGGGTCTCCACCTGGAAAAACCCGTATAACCTGCACGCTTCACCGATTTTATGCACAACCTGGGCTCTGTTTTCGGAACCCAAATCGATTATTGGAACATCCTCGCACTCCCACACTTCGGAGAGACGAGGTCGCTCCGATTCCGGTCGGATGTAACTCTCCGGCAGTGTTGAGTACTGGATTCCGGAAGAAAGCACCTTTGTGTCCATTTTTATATATCGTTAACTCTACCTTCTTAATATATGAACACCAAACTACATAAGAAGAAAGAAGAACAGTCTGGAGAGTGGGAAGAGGGAAGTAACGTATGACCAGTTTCCTGAAAGATAAGCCTAAGTGTAGCATATATGCATTTATATATACAGGGAATGAATGCAAACAGGGGGAAAAATTATTTTATATATATTTATCGTCCCTATGTCGGACCGTGTCCAAATCTTACTGTTATTTATTATTATTTAAAGGTTAAAATAACAATTAACCCTCGACACTAGACAAATTAGTTTCGGATTAAACAAAAGTATATGTTTTAGTTTGTATAGTATCTGCTGCTTACACATTAATCCGTCTTCTTTTTAGTGTCTGTTCAGTTTTAGGAACATGGGACAGGCCTACCATGTTTGTTTCATGTCGAATTTCAAGTTTTGGTGATTACCATATGAAGGTTAACATCTAATACAAAGAATTCATATTCTCGTTTAGAAAACCCTCTGCAGTATCATTGTCACCAGAAGAAATTCTTATAAATGGGAGAGGAATCAATTATATAGAAAAATATAATTTTATCTTTAATTCAAAAAAGATTAGATTATGAATTTTTTTCATTAAATTAGTCCACTTTTCATTTTTAATTCAATGTACCAATTCAAACTAATTTGAATTCTCTTTCAAATACTTTTGTACTTCTATAAAAGTAACAAAAGTAGTAACATTTGACATTTGATCACTTGATCTGACCATAAGCATTTATATTTGAGCAATAAGGTCAACTATATTTATTGACACCTTAAACCATGCTGGTTCTTAGTTGAAAAGATCACCATAGATGTAAGGGGAGTGGTTAGACTAGGTAGGAGGTCGGTTAATATGGTATATTAAAAAGGTTGGAATATATATATATATATATATATATATATATATATATATATATATATATATATATATATATATATATATATATATATATATAAAAGTCTGTTGTCAAATTTTAATTGAAACACGTTTCTTTTATGGAATTCTTTTATTTTTAGACATATAAAAGGAGAATATGTATTATCATATTTATTAGAAGGTTTTTATTTTTTTATTTTTTGTAAGTTACATTTTCATGTCTATGCATATTGAATAATTGAAGATTGACGGTAACAATTGAACCAGAGAGTATTAAAGACAGGATTATATATGTAGATAAATTTAGGTTTAACTTTAAGCTTAAGACCAAGTTTATGTTATAAATTGTCATGAGAAAAAAAAAAGGGAATAAAAATAGAGACAAAATAAGTTGAGAAAAAAAAATGGTACGAAGTAAAATTAAATGTTTGGTTGTTTATGTGGAAAATAGAGTAAAATTGTTTATGTAGCTTGATTAATTTCATAGGAAATAATGGAAAAAAAACACAGATAAATAGAAATGTGTTAAATATATTTTTCTTTAATCTTTTTTCTACCGAACATAAAATCAATTATTATATTTATCCAGTTCAGCCATAGTTGAAAATTGTAGTCTTTAAAACGTAGATGGCATGTAGTTTTAAAATGTAGATGATGATGATGATATGGACTTTTTATGCGTACATTAATTGATCACGTGGGCTTGCTAAGATGAAAATTTGACATGAAAATAGAAGAAGAGGAAAGAAATGCAGGGTAAATGACATGCTACTTTCTTATCATCTACTAGTGACATATGAGCAGAAATATTTTTTATTTATCCTTTAAAATATATATTAATTTAATCATAACATATAAATTAAATATATTTAATTATTCTATTGTAAATTAGATGTTAAATTAAATTAAATTAATATAAATATGGTTTATTGACTAAAATACTCTAATAATTAAGAGTTAAATCTAATTTATTTTTTGAATTGAATATGTTTATAATATTTGTAACCAACTATAAATCGCTATTATAATGATATATTCACAAAATAGTAAATAAGTAAATAACAATATCTATATTATATTATATTATTATAATTATAATATAAATTGAAATCTCGAGTTCATTAGCGGAACTTCAAAACATAGTAACATAATTTATAATTTTTTTATATAAATACATATAAAAGTAGCTCCTACAAAGTTATCCCACTTGAATTATCCATGTTGTCCAAAGTTATCCCATCGAACTATCCTTGTTGTCTAGTAGTCGCATCTCCACCTCTCAACTCCCGATCCGCTCCCAAATAAAAATGATCATCGCGATCCTATCCACATAGAAAAATAGGGATAAGTATTAAATAATTCGATATAATAAAACAGATATAGAAGTAATAATTACATATTATCATCAATACACTAAGACACCTTTCAGAAGTCTGCCCGAACTCAGAGGTTATCATCTGTGGCACATTGTGATCGGCACCTACAGTACCATTCTGACCACCCTCCACACAGAGTGGGATTACTGGCACCCTTCGTCACTCATACTGGAGTACCCCTCCGAGCGTGCCACCATTCATCCCTCATTGATTTCTCACCACCTGAGCTCGTAGTCTACATGATCCGACCAATCAGTGAAGTCTCAGACCTCATTCAGAATCCTCCGACATAGTTATTACATTAATGTACTTTGTACTACCCCAGATATCATTCAAATGCAACAAAAAATCATTCGCATCTGCCGAATTTTGGACCACTTGTCCTCACGGCTCATTCGGGTCAATAAATAATAGTATTTGACTGATTCTGGGCACCAACCCTCCGGCTCAGTCTAGTCAATACATAATATCTCATGACTGATTCTGGGCATGAGTCCTTAGACTCTGTCTGACCCACACACGTCATAACACACTGCTGAATCTTTAAAACTGCTACATTCATTCTATATTATATATATATATAATTTTTTTTTTCAAAATCATTAAATTACTATTTTGCCCTTAATCTTTTCTGAAAATTTCATGTATGTCCCTAAATAACTATTTTACCCTTGGATATTTTCTAAAATTTCTTCCATGTCCCAAAAATGACTATTTTACCCTTGAACATTTTCAAAAATTTCTTCCATGTCCCAAAAATGATTATTTTACCCTTGAACATTTTCGAAAATTCATTTCATGTCCCTTTCTTCTTCCTCGCATCCAGATATGAGTATCAAATTTTGTAGATTTTAGTCGATTTCAAATTATTTTGTTTTAGACAACCAAACTAGTCCCAAATTCAAATTAAACATGACTTATATCTAATTTCAGTTGAAAACAACAATTTTACCATATAATTCATCCTTAATTTCAAAAATTCCAACAAAAATTCCAAGTTTTGTAAAATATGAGAAATCTTCAAAATCAATCATTTTAATGTTCAGATTTTCACTCTTATTCCTTATTCATAAAGTACTCAACAATTCGAGTCTCATATGTTGAATGAATAAAACTTCTCCTTACTTGTGTGGTATTTCTACCGAAGTTTTCCCACTTAATTCAAGTTCTCTTCCATTTTACCAAATCTTGCACGAGTAGAGTCTCGTTGCTTGAAATTTAGACAAAAGAAGAAGAAGGATGAAAAGGAGAACTACTTGTTGAATTTTTTTCGCCTCCTTCTCCTTTCTATATATATATATATATGAAAAATTATACTTAAAAAAACTTCGTTACAAAATTTCTTGCACAATAATATTATTATAATATATAATAATAAAATATGACGTCACACTAATCTAATTATCATTTAAAAAAATTAATGTAATTAATGTTAATAGACTCATTTATGAAACCATTTAAAAATGTTCAAGATGCATGAAATTATATTAAAAAGTATATGATAATATATTTAGCAAGGATCGATTTATATAATAATAAAACATGACCTTACAATAATCTAATTATCATTTCAAAAAGTTTAATGTAGTTAATGTTAATAGACTTATTTATAAAACCATTTAAAAATGTTCAAGATGGATGAAAGTATATTAAAAAGTATATTTAGCAAGGATCGATTTTTTTTGGAGTCACGAAGGACTGAAATGAAGATTAAATTTAAGAAATTTAAAAAGAAAAAAAATGATATATATAATTTTAAGAAAAGAATAAAGATTATGGATGGTCATGCCATCCTTTCTACATCCCTCATTACGACTTTTTAATTTTTTAAAATTATTTATATGTTTATAGTTTTTTTAATATTTAAATTTTATTATTAGTCAAACAAAATATTATATATATAATTCTAAATTTACTTAATCATGTATCTTAAATATTAAACTAAATAAATATATAAATAAATATTTTAAATAATAAACTTTAATATATATATATATATATATTTTTTTTTTCTCATTTTTCTTTTTTTTTTCCTTTACTCTCATCGATAGTTTTAATTACACTCACACGCAATTATTACTGTTATTTTACTCCAATACCTGATAAAATTATTTTACTCTCATCCATTAGTTTTAAATTGGCTAAATATTTCGGTTAAATAGATGGTAAAAAAAATTAAGATTAATTTTTTTGAATATAATTTTTTTATAAAAGAATATAATATATTTTAATATTTTATCTCATATTAATTATGTTAATTTAAAATAATAGTTATTTTATTATATATTTATTATATTATAAAAATATTATTTTATTAGATTCGTTCAAACTTTAAATTCTCATTACTAAAAAATTAATTATTCTTTACCATTTATCTTATAAAAAATTATTTAAATTTATAAAAAAACTTATTTATTATAATTTTTATAAAAAAATTACAAAAATGTTCTATTTTTATTAGTCATCAGTCTAGTTTTAAAACAGTATTTTTTACTAATTTAGTAATATATGTGATATTTTATCCAAATAATCAATTATAAATAACACATAAATGATTTTGTATGTCATTTAAAAGTATCACACCCTTCATAACTTATTATACATGAATAATAGGTTGTCCAAGATAATTTGCATTTTGTAGTTCATAAATCAATAGTGAAATTTTTTTTTTTTTCTGTTTTGCCAATATATGACTTTTAATGATAAAGTTGTTTATTGACCAT